AAGGTGTTTAATTCAAAAGTACTCTCCACTAGCATATCTAAGGACTCTCTGGTTTTAAGGACTTTTGATATTTTACATAAGAGGAAACTAATAATTGCTCAGGCCTTAGAAGTCACTTTCTGATCTTTGAATCTTTAATATGAATGTTTATATTCTTGAGGTTCATAGCATGTTTTCTGTGATATTTCAGTGCTTGATGAATAGTCTAATACAGTGTTCCAGAATAAGCTAAAAATTGCTAACATAAAATAATCTTTTAAACAAAGACCCACTAGTTCAGTCCTGACTTCCTTTTCCTAAATTTTAAGTTACTCAGAATGGGCTTCCATAATAAAATGTAAGGATTCAGTTTGAAGCAATGCTGTCTTCTGATACGCTAACTGAGATAATTTGAAAAATTGCTGTTTATATGAGATACATGCTTTGAATTTCTCAGTCTGGGATTCCCATAGCAATAGAGTCTTGGGTTTCATTTTCATTTCAGCAAACTCTTCACTTTTACGCTATCCTTGCTTTTTCTCATTTCCTACAAATTATTTTGGGAGATACTTTGAGAGATAGGATTTTGATTAGATCTCTGTACACCTGTACTTTTGCAGGTGTAAAGAATCCCATAGGCCTTTTTTTGTCCTTTGAAGTCAGTTGGATTATTTTGCTGGAAAGAGGTGCAAATATCTTTCTAAGTATAAGATATGTAAATACAAGTATGAGATCTATATGAGGTATATTTATATTTGTATAGATATCTCACACAGGTGTGTTTATGTACACGTCGAGGATACAAATAACCTCAAATGCGGCCACCATTTTTGTGAGAGCAAAATTGGAGGCTGGATTAAGTTCTCAGAAGACTGGTGTTGAATAGGTAATCCAGGCATTTCTTTCTATCATGAAACAAAGATAACCAGAAGGTTGGTGGAGAAAACCATGAATCTATGTCCTCTTGTTTGAAAAATTCTTGTTTAAATGGGTAAAAGTTCGAGAACACTGTGTGCCAACTGAGCTTGTGTCACCTTAGTTAGACATGGTATTTCTGTTCCATTTGTGGGCAAAAGAAAATGATGGTTTTGGTTTGTGTTTTTTCTTGTATAGCTCTGTGGAACAGTGGTAACGCATACTGGAAACATTAAGGGGTAAGTAATAAGCTTTTTAAGTCAATTCTAGGTCTGTTGCTACTTTACTATTTTTAAGAAGGCTGCTCTGCTTTCTGTAACGTGAGTGCTGTAAGGTTTAGAAATAAAAAATAAAACCATTATTGAACCATATCGATGTTCATATGAAAACTCTATGCCTTCATTCTGCTTAAATTACATTATAATTCTGTCTTCATCAAATTTTCCTGAATTCTTTTTGTGATTATTTCCAGGCTGTATAAATGAGGCTCAAGATTCTTCTACGGGAATATATCATTATTCTTCCAAGTGTATTGGCATTTGTATTCATCTTCCAAATCCTGAGCCACTTGTTTTATGTCACCCATACTGTAAATCCCAAATGTACTATTGAATATTATGCCATAAACTACTGTACAGAATATTTTGTGATCAGACCACTGCCTCTCAAATACCACTGTTCAAGGCTTGACTTAAAATATTTTTTGTTTTTTACTTTTTTACACTGGGCTTTCTACCTTACATCACAGTATATAAATTAATTAGATTAACAGCCTTTGCCTAGCAATCCTCTGACAATTGGTCAAGTTCTTATCTTAAATTGTTGATTTGTGTTAAATACAGTACATACACGTTTACATAAAAATACATTTTGTATACAGAGACTTTTGTATATACGTTTTTCTTAAATCTTATAAGTGTTTAGTTAAGATTTTAATATTGTATAATACTCTTCACAAATGAATTTACCAGCATGATCAGTGTTCCTATTTGGTGCTCTTGAATGACCACTTTGGACTAAATTTGAAGTGTAATGGGATCCACAGTGTCTCCTTGTGTCTCTGAAAAGTTCAGTTGCAGTTTTGTTTTCTCCCTCTTTTTTTAATTATTTAATATTTAGTGGTTTTTGCAGTATAGACCTAAACGGGATGTTTTGGAGAAGTTTGTTTTGAAACTCTTTGGGTGGGAGGGTTGGGAGTGTGCGTGATGCGTAATATAGCGAAAAAGCTAAGCTTTCTAGAGTTCAGTAGTACTCAAAAAGAGCATGAGAGACATCATATGTTGGTGATTTTTAGAATGCTTTATGTTCTCTGTCTCCCTTTTCCTCATTCACACTCACTTCTGTAACGTCCTTAATAGTATCACTATTAAGCTGTGGCTCTTTCAGGGGGCAGTGATACTATTTTTGCTAAATAATTTCAAAATATGATTTCCAATATTGAAATTCAAATGTGTTTAGCAATTGGAGTTAATGTTTGTACTATTAAGAGTTACTGCCTTGAATTTAGGCATACAGTTGCATTGCTGAAGTAGTTGACAGCAGAATTCATCAACAAGGCCAAAAGTATCTGTTACTAGTGTAAAACATTTCAGCAGGTGAAGTAATTGGGTATAGTGATCTGAAATAGTGTCTCTTCATATATCAGTATTGTTAACTTTGTTTCTGACAAGGTTCATTGGCTTGAAGTAGGGATAATCCTGTAAATCATTCATATAATTTTAAAGAAATGCTGAAAAGTGATACCAGTCTTTAATCTGGAATAACCTTAAATTTTTTATTTTTAGGTCATAAATGGAAACATTTCTAATTGACAGTATGTAGCATATGTGTATATGTAATGTTCAGAACTGCAGATTTTTAAAAGTTTCTATTTTTAATTTGAGAAAATGTTCCCAGTTCATTTAAATAAAAAAGAACTTGTTTAACCACCTGATGTTTGATTCTCAATTGTTTTGTTCTGTAGTCCTGTCTCAGAAGAGTTGCACTGAGTTAAAATCTTATGAAAATTAATTTCTTACCCTGATTGAAATTTTCTACTATATTTGACTTTTATTGATGACTTTAGCTTACGCAAGATAAGAGACCAAGAATGGGAGCAGGAAGGACTGAAAAGTCACATTGACTCTGGGTGAGGGACCTTCCGACTTCCACAAAGGATGTGATTTATGCAAAGATGGTAGGATTCAAGCTAATGAGTTGTGGAGGATATCCACATACCCTGCAAGTACTCAAGGTGTTACCATTTGTCTCCGTTACTGTTTCTGTAGCACTGACAGCAGAATTAAACGTTTGCCAGTTCTTCAGCTCCCATAGTTCACTGCTGGCATCCTAGCTTAACTTGTAAAAAGGCAATTGTTTTCCTGATACAACAGACCATGAGCTGTTTCATCTGAAGCACAGGTGGGCAGAGGACGCAAACGTCAGATAGGAGTGAGACAAACACTTGGCAGTAACATACTAACTGTAATACATAACTATACCAGAGCTCTTGAGTCCAAGCTTTGATATTTGTCCTTATCTTTGTAGTCTGATTTGTTTTCATGATTACACTTTAAAAACTTTCAGAACAAGAGATCTGAAACTGGTATAAAGTAACTTTTAAGTAGTTTTGAACTCTCTAACAATTATTAGAATGAGAGAGACGAATGCCTTTAGTTTCTAATCTAGGAACTGTCAGTGCTGTTGTGCATAACCAAGTGTAAATAATATGTATTTGTCAAATATTAGGAGGTCTTTGAGTGCTTGCAGTAGGGATTTGAAATCCTGGAAATGAAGTGTGAGGTGGGCAACGAGATTCTTCTGGCTGGCTGGCTGATGGGTGAGAAGGCTCCCCAGAAAACAACAGAAGAGTGAATTGTAAATCTTAAGTAGGCTTGTACCATTGCTGTTTCTCCTAAGACTTGACTGGAGAGCCACACCACTGTGCTTTGAAAGAGACAAATGGCAAGAAGCTAGAAATGAAACCTCTACTAAAAATGTTACTAAAATAGCCTTAGAGAGGGGATGTAAAGAAAACAATGTTGTTCTCTCCGCCAAGTGGTATTTAGTCACGGGGAACTTTGTGACACGTTGACTGGAAGAACAAGGTTCAGGCCACCCAGAATGGCTGTTCCAGGTGACTCCGTCTTCAAGCAGGCAGCTCTCAGACTAGCTGGGGTGCCATAGCAGCTACGGACTCTACTGTCAAGTATTAGAGAAGCATTTTTTGCAAATTTTTTTTTTGTTGTTCTGCTTCACTGTCTGTATTAAATGAATGTTTTTGCCTTGGTATTTTCTTTAGCGATACCTATTGAGTGGCTAGATATACAAAATGGTATTCTATTCCATTATGTTTAGCCATTCTTAAACTCAGGCTTTCTAGCGCCCTAGAGTTATCCAAGCATACCTAAGTAATACAATAGCCCTTCCAGAAGCTGTTCAGGTCAGGCTGGCTGTAGCATATGTACCTTCAAAAGAAGTGCCTAGTGGGGTCTTACTAGCCAGAAAAGTACTGTGGCTTACAAGAGCGTGGGAGAGATTTTTCCTCGTGACCTCCTGAATGCCAAGGGAGTTACCATGATTTTCCTCAGCTCTGCTTTTAGTTACTACAGCAAAACCTGCTAGTACAGGATTCTGCACTAAGATATTTCTATTCTCTTACCTTTGTTTTATGGCACTTTTACAGCTCATTTATTATGAACAGGAACATATCTATTTAAAAAAAAAAAGTGAAAGGTGATAAAGCACAAATACCTGTCTGACATGTTCTAGGGTCTATTCCCTGCTGCTGAGACCCAATGATAAGCTAGTTCTGTTGTCTTGCTCTGTTGGCTGAAAATAACCCATGGTGTGACAGTGATGATAAAACTTCCAGATGTTTGGTTTATGTTTAGGCCTGTAATACCTTACTTTTCTAAAGCTTTAATCCTTATCTTGCTTCAATATTGCAAGTCTAAAAATCTTTCATGGCTCAAAGAATGTGCAGTTGATTCTTCCATGTGTCCCCACTGCATGTCATGTGCTGACAAAATGAAGTGCTAAAGTTGCATCCTCACTGTGCAAATCCACAGAAAATCCATTCCACAAATCAGCATTTATTGGTAGGACACACTTATAATCATCCAGATGTAGCTGCATAGGTTGCTTTGGCAGTTTTATCCTTTTTTACTTCAATATGGTCTTACAAGCTCTGGCATGAAGATAGCTATAAAGCAGCTGGAGAATGGAAAATATGTGGTAAAAATCAAATATGACATGTTCATCCTGGATAGGAATGTGCTTCTCGGTTATACAACTATCTTTCTGTATTTAACTGCATTTACAAGATTTGTCTTGTTACATTCTTGGGAGTTCACAGGTTATTTGACACTCCCTCAGGCTATAAATTATGGGCACATGCCTACTGAAGTGTGATTTATTATTTTTATAGAAAAAACCCCAACCCTTATATCCCACGTTTCGCTGGAAAGAGGCTTCTTTGTGCACCAAGCCTTTAAATTGTGAGCAGCCACTTACTGCTTTCGCATTTTCTGATCGTGTTGCTCAAGGATCTCAGTCAACTCCTCTCACCATGAAGAGCTTTGCTCTTCTTTTCCTAGTAGTGTTCTGTGGCATGGGAGGATTGGGTCAGAAGCTGAAGCCAAAGAAAAGAAGCAATGGTGAAGAAATCAATTTTCGGACTAAAACCAAAGATGTTTGCACAATGAGCATAAGTGGGGACGAGGAGATGAAACTTAGAATTGAATGCAAAAGCCAAGGCATGTCCTACTGGTGTGAATTTGCTGGCAAGCCATCAGTCTGTCGTGCTTTCAGAAAAAACCCAAAGATTTACTGGAATCAGATCGCCATGGAACTCAGAAAGCTCCCGCACGCTTGCGAATCCACACAAGTGTTGAAGACCACCATGTGCCAAAAGGCTCCCACAGAGGCTCTCATGAAGCAAATAGCTACTGGTATGGAGCCAGAAGATCTAGCAAACCAGGAGAAATCAGTCCAGAAAACTTCTACTTCTATGAGGGGAGCAGGGAGAAGCTCTGTTAAGAAAATAGGGAAACCTCCAATGCTACCTCTTATAAAACCAACCCAACATGGTCAAGGGTCTGAAAATGAAACAGAAGCGATGAAATTGGCACGGGAACATTGCTGGGAATCCCTGCATGGTTTCTGCTCCTACATTATTGGCATCTTTAGAGGTTAAGGATTTGCTTCAGGTAAAACTCCCATCTTGAAGCACAGCAGAATATACCTAAGAGTAATCCTGTTGTAGTTTTGCTTTATTTTGATCTTGGGGTGGGGGTGTGTGTCTCTCAGGGGTGTGGACAGGGTGGCTCTAGGCTCACTCACTAAAATCTAACGTGGCAAAGCCTGTGCTGTGGCTTCTGAGGGGCTGGATAGCTTAAACTCCCAGTGATGGCTACTAGTTCAGGACTCCCTGACAGCCTCCTTTAGTATGTACTGAGATGTTTGTCCTATCTGTTATTAATCCTATGGTATTTCAGTTCTAACTGTTCGAATTGGGCTTGTTTTCTGCCTTCTGTCATTCCTTCCCTCTTGTGCTGACTTTCGGATTTAAGCCAGTGCAGTAAGATAAATAACAAATACATCAGATCCGATAACAAATGCATCAGCTAGAACAATTTAAAACTACATTCAGAAATTGAGAGGTTAAAGCTTGTTCATCAAAACTGCTAGTTAATAATTAACCATTTTAATTTTAAAAATTAGTTCATAAACAACTTGCAAAAATGAGTAAAACCAAATGGACTGTCTTGGTTTGCGGGTCTGTTTCTGTAGGGGCAATAGGGGATCACATACAGGCGCTTGTCTGGTAAGTCTGAGGTTTTCAGCCAGGATTTAAAAAGGCAAAGCCTTCGCAGAAGTGATTGATTTTATACCCACTTCCATTTCGGCTCATGGAGAAAGACAGGAGCTGGTGACTAAACCTGGCATACTTTTGTCAGAAATGGGAATATATGCAGCATGAGCCAGCAAGTGTTTAGGCTGCTAATGATCTTACTTGTGCTTAATACAACAAAGTGACTAACTTTTTTTTCTGTTTTGTTTTGCAGAGCAAAATTTTTACAGCTGAAGAAGGGTCCTTGCTGTAGTTTAATAATTTAGACATAAGAATTTTGGTTTTAAAATGAGTCATCTCTATAAATCTTGTAGCTGTTTTCTCTTTGCACCCCTAAAATGAAACTTTTTAACAGCCCTGAAAAATGCATGAAACTGGAGTGACTGTACTTAAAGTGTTAGGATGAACTAACTGTTCCTAGGTCTGTTACACACCAAGGTGTACTGCATTTATGTAACCAAGGTTCCACTTTGAGTGCTGACCTCGAATAGGTTTTTGTGTGTGCTGAGTCGCTTCAATTTGTTAGAGATGAAAGCTGTAAATGATGCCACAGTTAGTGCAAACAATAAAAATAAGAATTTTGAAAACTTATTCAGTGTGCTTTCTTAAAATTTTAAATGGTGCTACTTATATAAAGTCATGGTATTTGATACTTGTTTCTTAAAAGATTTTTGGTAGAATGTGTAAGAGAAGTTACAGGTCTGAGTCGTTACTTTCCCACTGTGAACATGTTTTCATTAATATTAATATTTTCAATGTCATTACATTTATATTACAATGATAAGTTTCAGCCAGCAGGGAAAAAAAGATTGGAGAAATAAGAGTAATGTAAGAATACATTTCTAAACATAGCAGATTAGAAGTGTTCATCTGTGATGCATCTGCAGAGTTCAGTGTTGTTAGGATCTGTTAGTGGTAATGTTAATGTTTGGGTTCAGTAAATATTCTGAAAGGTAACTCATATCTATGCACCTGAGCACTTGCGTATATCTCATCAAAACACAAAGCAAGACCTAATAGCCTGTTGTCAGAAATTACAACACATTTATATTCAGATAATTTTTAACAATGATCCCTTTTGTTCCTAAGTGAGCTTCCCAGCAGGGATATCACTGGAAAAACTTCTTACCACAGAAGTTAGTAGTGCTCTGTTTGCCATTAAACAGTTTCTGCAAGGCGTTGTTACGTTTAAGTACTTCTCCAGCTTTACTCACAGATTTGTAATTCTCACTTCATAATTCCAGATCGTGACTGTCCAATCACTAAATTTTGTGCCTTGTACCAAAAAAGCTTGACATAATTTTCTGTCCCCAAACCTCTTGAAATACATGGAAAGGAACAGCAAGTAATGAACACGGGATCAGTGCAGAATATTGTATGTGCAAGGCAGAAATAGAGCTTGAATGCTGATAAAATGCAAGCTCAAGCAAGTCTGTATTTTTGTCAACCGTAAGTCTAGTGTGGTTAATCTTAATTTGTAACTTCAATTACCCTTGCCAGGCTCTTGTGCTGTGAGTAAAAAAATGTAGTAGTAGTACGCCTATTCATTTATTTCTGTCACAGAAATGAATATAATTAATTGATTTGCAAACATGCAAAACACATCAAAGTGATATTTGGGAACTATTTGGAAATGTTAAGGGGAGGCTGAGGGTTTTCTTGAGGTGTGTTTTTTAAATATTTAAAAACTACTCTTTTGTATGATCCAAAATCCACACTGCAGAGTGAATATTTTGCAGTAGTATCCACTGCAACAGTAACGACCTCAAAAATGAGACGATGTCTTGCATTGAGAGAAGTCTGGGAGAATCAGTCACCCACCACACTGGTAGCAGGAGAAAAGAGGTGGTTTCATCAGTTCACTAAAAGAAAATTTTCCTCTTTATGCCCTCGTCTATGTATATGCACTGAGCACAGAAGGCAGCCAAGTTGTCTGACGCTTTGTAGAACTTGATGATACAGTCTAAAATATGTGGCCATCATTGATTCTGCTTGGTAGAGGACAAATGTCACACATACTTGCTAGTGCACTATTTCCTAGGGAACTGTTGTCTCGTTTCAGTAGAGCAGAGCTCTGCTGCACAGGGCTCTGTGACTGGCACTGTGCTGTCTGGAATGACCACCTGAAACTTCATGGTTGAAGTGGAAACTAGAAATCAAATAGTCTTGCACCAAAGGCCCCTCTTTCATGAAGTGTTTTTTGTAAAATATCCAGGATCCACAAAACAGTTAAGCACTAAATTTTACAAAAAGGTGAAGATTTTGGTAGCGACGTGATGCATGGCTTGGATTGCATTTCATTAGGCAACACTATGCACCCTCAGCAAGTCAGTTAACTATAATGATCTTGCTTTCCAAATGTTTAAAAATTGCATGTTAGCTGAAATACCCCACCTTAGGGTAACAGCACCGTAGTTGTATCAGCTGCATTACCATTTAATTGTGTTTAGCACTAGAAACATACAGTCGTGACATTTCAGTTACCTTCTTGGTATGAAAGTGCTATTCATTAATGAAAGGATGAATTGAGAAGTGTTTGTGGTGAGTTTAATGCATCTTCAAGTACCTCGTGAATGAATGAAACCTGCTGTTTCATTCATTTTAGGTTAACCTGTTAGTCCCCATATACGTAAGTACCTCAGGAAATGCGCTCAAGTGGAGATGGAATTTGTCCTTATCTTCTTGACAGAGGAACAGCAGGCAAAAATGTTTGTCTGGATTCCTGCAACCAGGGAGACCCCTGATATCCAGGCCCGCTGCTTCTGCTGCTAATTCAGTGCGATGTGAGATAGTCCACCTGCCTCAAGATCCTCACATTTAAGTTCCCACAGAAGCATCATGAGCATTCGCTACTTTGACAAGGTAAGCTTCCAAGAAAAGCAAAATTATGTGTTTGGAGAACCTGTGTATAAAAGGATGTATATTTAACACACATAGTTAAGATCCAGGAAAGACTGGAGCGAGTCTAATGGAAAGCCAGCAAGACGGCTGGTTCTGGAGCCTGGAGAAGGCTTTATGAGGGACCTAATAGCCTCCCCCCCCTCCCAATACATATGAGGAGGCTATAGAGAACACGGAGTTATGCTCTTCACTGACTTGTGTGATAGGAGAAAAAGAGATCATGGTCACAAATTGATACGGGTGAGGTTCTGACTTGGTGGAAGGAAAAACATTCACTGTAAGGAGGATAAACACCAGAGCAGGTTCCCCAGAGTGGCTCTGGAATCTCCATCTGTGGAGCTTTTCAAGGCCAACTGGACAAAGTTTAAGCAATGGAGTCTGAATTCACCGTGGCCCTGGTTTGAGCAGGAGCTTGGACTACAAACCTCCCAAGCTGCCTTCTGGCCTGAACGATTCTATGATTTACAATAGAAATACAAAAGAAAGGTTAAACATTCTGGTTATTTAATAATGAACACCTCTGTTAGCATCCGTGTCTCCTTAAAGTGCAAAAAATGCTCTTGGATTTGCCATTCTAACTATATCAAAGCAAACGAGAGAGGCGGTTTTCTTAAGTATGTTCTGATGGCAGATCCGGTCATTAAGTCGAATGCATCATCTTGAATAACTTCAGTGCTTCTGTCTTTTGGTACATATTTTTATTTAGCCTGGTTTTGACAGCAGAGAAAATCGACAAGAAATTCAGGTGTTAATGAACACTGAACATCAGGTCTGTTTGCCTTAAAACCAAGTATCTGAAACTAAGAAAATCATCGTTTGCACTGTGTAGGTTATTCGTGTTAAAGTAGACCAAATCCACACCTCAGTAATAATGTTGCTTAGTGTGCCTGTGAATCATCTCAACTGTGCAGTAGTGCACTCTGGTGTTTTCTGAGAGAATTGTTTAGGTATGTTGTCTGGTCGTTCTTGCATGGTTTCAGTCTTACGTTTTGCATTCTTGATTTTTCAATAGGTGTCGTAGTTGATATGGCATGGATTTTAGGGACAGAGATTTCCACAAAAATAAGAGGACAAGGAAAAAACTAAAATTTCCCAAAGTTGCCCGTTGCCTTTCCTGCTTCTTCAGGAGCTTTATGGTCGTCAATTTCTTTTTTCTGTTTCTCTTGCTGTTATTTTACCCAATCTCTGTTTTCTTCTCTGGAGAGGAGTCAGATGCAGCACAGGAGATTTATTTTGGCGCTCTCTGCTTTTCCCCTTACAAACAAGAGAATTGCTCTCGTCAGACTTCACAGATCATTTTACAATGACAAAAGGTATGTGATACGTATACAAAAACAGGAATAAGAAAACAAGGCAGAAGAGATGTAGTCAGTACGATGACAAGACATCGGTGTTACCTCATGGACACATCATACCAGACATACTGAGAATCTCTTTAGTTCACTTTCATATCTTGTATACAAAGTTAACTGCATAAACATTAGGCAGGAGGCCAGGTGCTGAATTTCCAGAGTAGCTATATTACAGTATGTACAGAGGAAGAAAAAAACGAAGCCGACGTCTGATTTGGAGCAGAAGATCATGTTCCCCTCCCCGCCTCCCTCTCCTCAGCAGGTTATAAAATTGTTTGCATAACCAGCTGATCGCCATAGGCATCTAACCCATGGTATGCTCCCACTGCCTCCAGGCTTACAATGATTGTAGTCAGGAGGGGAAACAGAGGTGTCCTTTTAGGTCTGCTGGCTGCAGATGTAAAAAACTGCATTACTCTGTCGCTACTGCTGCTGTCCGTAAAAATTAATGTGCAAATGGTGAAATTGGTTGCCCCTTTATTTGTCTTACCAGCGTAACGTGGTGTGTGAGGGGGCCCTCCCCACAAACGCGGCTGTAATAAAATTAAGAATTTGCCTAGGAACTGAAGAGGGCTAGACGCTTACTGCTGAAGGAAACAGTGAGC